AACATGACAAAGCTGTAGCAGAATCCATTAGAAGAATACACCCAACCACTTAACTTGAAACCCACTGTTCTCACATTTGCATTCTTGTAACCTAGGTTTCTGAAGACAAGCTGCCTGCGAAGTGGTTGAGGAGAAGTAAACTGGTATCTTTATCAAAACAATTCAAACCTTACTGCAAGCATTGCTAAATGTTCCAAGATGAAAGCATTTTAATAATTGTCTAACATTTTCTCACTGTGCAAAGAAAATGAATGATTTCTTAGGAATAAATGAATTCATACGGCTTTACCTTTCATAAAATAGACGCATCCCCTTCTATACCTTAGTCTTTAGAGATTATTGTTTATGTTCCTGCATGGTTTTATGGGAACAGGCTTATTAAAGAGAGCTGTAAAAGGGAGGGATTAAAGGTATACAATCATCGCACTATGCAATGAACTTGTACTGTACAAACATGAAACAGCTGATTTGTTCACTGACCTATTGTTTTTCAATATGTATCATGGATACAATGTGTATTAAATGGCCACATTAGCAGATACCCAATATTAAGCAGTCATCACAACATTTTGCAGCTTTGCTCTCATTGTTTCTGCAGAAGACTTACTTTGGATTACATCTCCAATATTGCACTTAAAAAATACATTGTTGGATGATTCAGCATGTGGAGTAGGCATAAAAGTGCATCATTGGCTAAGGTGTATACTGGTATCTAGAACAGAATATCTGGATAAAACCACTGTTTACCTATGAAGTCATGTTAAATATTTACCTGAAATATTATCTGTACAGAAGTAAAATTAAATACAGATCCTGGGTTTTCATGATAGAGGTGACTGAGCACTCTTCAAAAGAGAACATTCAAAAGAAGATTTTAAAGACTCACTGAAAGCTGAAAGTGCCTATCTCTGTGGAAGACACAGATAATAAATCATAAGCCAAAGAACCTTCTACAAAAGTACTTTCTAATAAACTGGAAGAAAAAAATCCTAATATTAGTAACAGGGGAAAGACAGGGGAAGATCTGTATTTAATAATATCTCCAGAGAACAAGAATTACAGTTGTGTAATTCACTACTCCTGAGGAAAGTAACTACAGATCTTCATTGCCAGAATCTCTAGGATGAGGTTGAATGGCTCTTCAGAATCTAAAGGACTAAACATACATGGTTATGTTCAACTTGAAGGCAAGAAACATGATTTTTTTTTCCCCAGCTGCTTATCTTCCAAAACCAGAAACCAGTAAGGAAGAGAGAGCTCCTCCAAATAAATAAAAAATGCATTTTAATTTAAAATAATGCATGTAATAAGAAAATAATGCATTTCGTTAGAACAATTCAAGTTGCTAAAAAGGAAACAAAGTCTATTTTGATGAAAGAAAAAATTATGTCCTATATTTATAGTATATTTTCACGTTTGGAATTTTTCACTTATCCTTTGGTATAATTTGCATTTCCTGTATTGTAGAATATCTCATTTTTAGGTATGCACAGGTAACAAAAGTATTAATGATTAGCAATTTAAAAAACTGAACTTATGCCTGCAAAATAGCCTTTGGCAAGACAGATATGTCAAAACTTTTTCTACTGCTTAACAAGGAGCAGATTTCCAGCAAGTGTTTAAGCATTTATTTAAGCATTTTATGCCTAAATGGGAATCTGCTTTTTTTTTCGGTAGCAGTTTCTAGAAATTTTATAGATCTTTTAAAAATACACAAAGGCTTTTCTGTACTAATTAATATGGCAACCGTGCATTTCACGCCTTTTGCTTTTATCCTCAAAACACTTACAGTTTTAAGGTGTTTTTTAGGTAGCTCCCCCCCGCTGCCTTAAGCAGAGAAAGCAAACTTTGAAGTAGAGGGAAGAATCATACCCTGTGTTGTGAAAGCCTGACATACAGTTTAAGAATAATTCAAATCTTTGCACGTAACAATCTTCGTGTTTTTCCGTACTCAAAAGTGAGGTAACTACAAAAAGTTTTCATAATACATGCAAAGGGACATCATGATACTCTATTGTTACTCAGATTATGCAGTTTGTCTGAAGGTGAACTGGATTAACTTTTCATTGACTATTAGGTTTGCCAAGATGGCATCATCGGTCCAATCTCAATTTCTTCTTTCCTTAAGAATTCAAGAGAATTGAAGTAGATATTTGCAAAACAATGCCAAAAAAATAGCAGATGTAAAAAGGTCCCAGGACCTTCTGTTGAACTTGAGACCACTTAATATTTTATGATGCAAATACTAGAAAGTACAGCTAAACTGAGATAGCTGTAAAATCTCACAAACTATTAGGCTTTTGAGAGATGTTGGGTAAGGAAACTGCATCTATAAAGAGAAGGCAAAGTACATTTATAAGACAACAAAATAGCTAAATGAACCTAAGCAGACAAGAAAAAGAGAGTAAATCAGAGTAAGTCTGCTTGACTTAGTTAATATGATTTTTTTCATGTAGCTTTCTTTTAAAGTAAATTCATGCAAGAACCGCATGAAATAGAGGTGTCTAAGATTTCAGTATGAATAATCAATGGTGGAAATCCTTCCCCTTCCACTGGAGCCAACTGTGAATGCTCTGTTTTGAGAGAAAGAGAGAAAAAGAAGTATCTGCAAAGAAATACATCGCAGAAAAAAATATATTGTAAAGTTTGCCAGTGTGGATGATGTTCTTTTGGAGTAATAGAAGTGTCATCTGCCAGTGCCAGAAAAAAACTATTGTAGATTCTTTACAGCCTCCTTAAGGGTGAAAGCTTTTTGTTGGGTTCTGCGGCTATCTGTCCAATAATGATCAAGTGAAAAAAAAAAAAAAAGTATTATCTAAAATACAGCATAAGTGTATGATGGTGGAAACTAGTTTTGCTCAGACTTGAATGATCAATCATGTTGTGATAGTCTATAGTTTATTCCTAATCTTACTGTCATCCTCTTATATATATAAAGTGAGGGGATGCTCTACCTTCTTCTTCTGTATCTCCAGAAGTGCATTAGACATCAGAGGATTCTTGCAAATCCTCCAGCTCCCCAAGGATGCTACAGACATCCTCATCTTCTTCCATCAACTCTTCTTTAGATGGCCTCCTGAGAAATGTAGTACAAGTGTATGAATTCATTTGGATGGGCCACAACACATAGCGCATCAAAATGCCCTCAACTCAAGGTCCAACCAAGAATGGATCTAATTTGACCTGCATATAGGTTCATCACTCTCCAGGGACATCTTTGTATTTTGAACTCTTTATGAATCTGTTGGCCCATTTCCTTTTTCCATTATAATTCCAAAGATGTGAAATGGATGTAAAAATCAAGGTTACTGAATAAACAAAATGAAGGGAAAAAATAATCACAGAGGCCTCTTGGCAAGAAAGGAAACAATATATCCTACCAGAGATGCTTCTACAACTAAGAGTAGAAAGGAAACAAAGTAGATGTATGTTAGCAAAGAAACATAATTAATGCTTATTTTGTTTTAAATAGTATAAAAGATTAATAATTTATTTGTGAATTAAGTGGGCAAAGATACATAGGAGAACTAAAAGCTACCTCAGAGACTAGAAAAAGAATTGAAAGGCTGTAATTTGCTTGTTTGTTCTTGTAGTTTTTTTTTTTTTTTTTTTTTTTTAACACTCACCACAACCAGAAAGACATCCTGACAGAAATGCCAACAGACAATACTCCTCCTACAGCCACGAGGAAGAAAAGAATGTACATTTAGGCATCATCTCTCCGTACTGATAACCACTACCTGGGCTCCTGCTTGTCACCTTTATGGTGAGAACTGTGATATTTTGAATTTTCTCTGCTGATGAGTGCTCCTGACTCTATGGATTCCAAACATGAAACCCCAAAGCTGAAAATCTGTATTTAATTACTTACCTCAGAACCTTGGGAACATACCCAAGCCTTACTATCTCTAACAGCAGTTTACACCCTTCTTCCTTCTTTCTTGTGCTGTGGTGCACTAGAGAGCCCTAGTTTTTGCTGTTTTACCCCCCTTTTTATATGAAAGGACGTGTGTACCTCCAGAAAATGTCTTTTTCTAGAAAAAAACATATGATGAAAAAGGGGAGAAAGTGATACATATTTCGAATTAAGCCAAAAATCTCAAACACAAAATCTTCTAAGATAAAAATGTTTTTAAAGGATTCTCTAAAAAAAGGAAGAGTTTTTTTAATCATTCTTTTACTTGTAAGCATCATTCACAGAACCATCTGATACCAGAGGAGTATGTATCTGTCTTTTAAAACTGCTGTCTTCTGTAAGTTGGCACAAATGCTTAACATAAAGACTAACATGCTATAAAACATGCTACTTCACTGCAAGCAGAAAGGGCAAAAATAGTTCAAAATAGTTCATCTTTAACACTGCGGGACAAATTTTACTGAATAACCTAACACCTATCAAACTTAGCACAGTGATTCCATTCACATACATCAGTCATCTAATCCTTTCGTTGTTCTTCAAAAATGACATTGATTCATATCAGCCAACGAATACATTTCAGTAGCTAATGGATGCTTAGGCCTTTCATGACCTTGTAAGAAAGACAATGAATACCTTACAATCATGATATATGTACGATGGACATTGAACAGAAAAGACTTTTTAAATCAAATGGTCTTTTACACTTAAGGTATATCCCAGAAGTCTAAGCTATTCAAAACCTTTTGCTAGTCACTGTGACAGTTAACATTTCCCAAGTGACACCCTTCAGCAACTGTGCCCCCAACCAAGGAGAAAAATGGCTGTCCATTCACAATGATGTGCAAAGTACTCCCTTTTTTGCATATTTCCATTTTATAACATTTTCACATTCTCTCACATGAAAAATAGGCATACTTTTTTTCCTAACTTAACTCACTTTATTGTATCATAAGCTGCTCATGGGAAAACAGTAGAACAATTAACAAGTACTGTATTTCCCAAATATAGACCTTGTGACATTATATTGCCTAGATTAAGGTTTATTTTTTCCAGACCCTGTGGGCCTTTACTCTTAGCATACCTGGGTTTGGATTCTGTTGAGCCCTCTGAACCAGAGAATTTGTCCACGTCGAAGTTCTCTCTCTGCATGATCAATCTCTTCAACGTCTTCATTAAGCTCTTCTTCCGGGACCTCCTCTTTTTCAGTGAGCCGCCCTGCCTCCTTTAAAAACTTTAGCCTACTTGTTGGGATAGTTGCAATGACCTGAAAATTATATTATAAAAAAGGCTGAAAACATAAGCATCATTCAATAACTACAGTATAATAATCTGCTAATTACAAAAAAGCCCTGATACCTTAGCGAGACTTGTAATCTCTCTGGAAGGCTAAGATAAGCGTATTCATAACAGTGCTTTATATTTAGGCAACTCTGTTTATCTCAAGGCACTTTACAGAGTTCTTGCTATGTAAATAGTCAGCATTACTTGCATTATTAAACCACTTTGATAATACACAGCTGTGGAGCTAGTTTCAATCTGGAAAGAAATGTCATCCTTCCTCAGAAACTAACGGTGGAATGTTGGCTTGTGGATATAAGTATTTAAAAGAAACTAAACTAAATCTAAACTAAAAACTAAGCTAAAATAGGCTTGATATGCCTATCAGAATCCTCTTTGTCGCATTTAACATAGATGAGGCATCTAGCGGTAGAGGTTTGAACGGCCCTTGTTGGGCTATTTTTATGTTTGTCATAAACATGTTTTATGTTTGACCTTACTATTGATATATTTTGGGTAACTCAGTTCTTTATTCTTTTCGGCCACTAAAACTAATTATTTGGAAGTAATATAGGAGATGACCAATAATCTTTAAAAATTGCCAGTACTGTAACTAGACTGTGTTATAACACAGTTATTTTAAACACATTTCAGTAAGTTTTGGGCAGTCATTTTCTCCTTGTTCTGATTTCATCAGCTTGAATAAAAATGCAAGCATTTGGCTATTTAAAGCCGACATGTTACCTGGAAAGCTAAACAGCATGAATGTTTGAAAAAAAAAATTACAAAGTTAACTCTTAGATGCACTTAGCATAAGCATGCTGTAGTTTTCTTTATTCTCATTTCAGAAGTCAAGTCATCACATCTCTGAAGCCTAAGTGCATGAAAAATGAGGCCAGCTGAAACAGGAAGAAATTACTACTATGGGACATTCAAAACTGAGGAAAGATTGCTATCTGCTGGATGAAGTTAATTGTCAAGTTTGTGATAATAATTTCTTTGAGATCCACCTTCGGGGGCCATCTTCTTTCACATGAAACCCTAAGCCTTGCTGTTCATTTTTGCAGTCCTCTGGCATGTGACGTTGTTCAGCCCATATAATCCACAGCAAATTGGAAATTAAGCAAATCCTAAAAATCCGAAGATCAAAGCACCATGCCAGCTAGGCAGATGGACTATACAGGAATTTTTAATTAAAAAAAAAAGAAGAATTCTTCCAATTTCTACGCTCCTGAAAATTGGTTTTAAAAGCTCACTTTTCTGTTTTAAAACATGACATGAACTTGGAAAATTAATGAGATTGATGTGATGTCAGCAAGACAGAACAGGAAGAAAACAGGTAAGTGCTAGTCACCAAAATATCTGCTGGAACTGCTTCAGCTTTCCAGCTTTCAAAAAAATTAATATATCTACAGAAACAGTCTAAAATTGTTTTTATAGTATTTTATGAAGCTGATCTGGATGATATGCTTGCAAGACAATGTATAGAAACAAGCAATACCAGATTTGATAGTGATTCCGTATAATGGCACATACCTCTTATCGGGACCTCTTTCAGCCAGGCTGACAGATTCTGCCCTAATTCTTTTCTTAGGGATTTCAGGTGTTTTGTTTTGTTTTGTTTTTCCGTATGTGCATACACCTACCCGGGTAATGGCAGATTCTATAGACTGGTTGTAGATTAAAGAACTAAATGTTACTCCCCATAAACTACCAAATTAAGACTACGTTTTTTCAAAAGTGATGAATAATTTAGAAAATATAACAGACCTAGCAGGACCTAGCAGACTTCAGAAGTTAGCTGTCAAACTGACCAGGTTTCCCCCAGCAAGTGACATAACTCAAATCCTCTCCTGGGGTAATAACTACATTAATAGAATTTAATAGTGGTAGTTTTCAGCAAGGTGTACATAGCAGTTGTCATTATATGGATTACAGCTCAAAAAAAAAAGCAACCAAACAAACAAAAAACACCAAAAAGCTGTAGCCTAGTTGTCCAAAAAGATTTCCTATTTTCTTTTTCTTCCCCACAGTATAGGAAGAAAAAAAAAAAAGGCTTCAATATCTAGTAGTTATTCATTATATACAATTCTTCGGAATCATCTCAATATTCCAGTTGCAGTTGAAATTTCTCGCCTGTTCCGTCAGTGGCCACCAGTGAAAAGAGGCCAGCACCATCCTCCTCACTGCCTCCCTTGAGGTACTTATAGACACTAAGGATGCTAAGGCCTGTAAGATCAGTGGGCTCCTCCACAGTTTCCCAATGTAGACAGCCGGCAGGTTCTCCGCAGTGTCCTGGTGGGCACAGGCAGCACAGGGATCTGCTCTGGAGTAGGTCTGGGCTGGAGCCCTGGGCAGGAAAGGGTTCTGAGGGGCAGTGACAGGCCTCCACAGAGAGCAGGTTCGTTCCCCTCCAGGCCAGAGCAGGTGAAAGGCCTCAGCACATTGACTGCACTGCAGACTGTGCTGAACACATGAGCCCGGGCCCTCGTCCAGCCAGCCCACAGGACATTGCGTGTCAGTGGGGAGATACTGTGTCAAGTTGGGGCCCTGCTCCGGCATCTCAGGTGCAGTCCTCTAGGACAATATGGGTTGCTGGGAGTGGTCCGTGCCTGTCTCTTCATAGTGGCAAACTAGTTCATCCGTATGTATGTTTGCCAGAGAGAAGCAAACTGTTACTTAATATTTGTTTTACTGTGTCAGGCAGTATCAATTTAAAACCAGTAAAATGCATTTACAGAGGAAAAATCAGCATTTTTGTTATAATATGTATTTGGACATTGAAGGATAGTGAAGTGTTTTAACAATACTTGAAGTCACAGCTGTATTCTTCCAGCTAACTAATTGCAGGACTTTATTTTGATATAATTACTTACTTTTTCATCTATATTTAGTTTTATATTTGCTAATGGCAACAAAGTTTTTAGCAGAATTTACAAATGACACCTGGGTGTCACCTTTTTATGTCTATTCTAGGATGGAAGTATTTTTCTTCCATCCTTGGCATAAAACAATGGATGGGAGATTAGAATCAATATTTAATATACACACAGGTGTACATTAAATGCACAGGGGATCACAATATTACTTGGTCATATTTCAATAACAAGGCTATCCTGAATTGAGAAAACTGGCAGATTCAGCAAGAAAATGATTGGGGGTGGACTTAGAGAAAGAACTTATTTTCAATTTCAAAAATTAACTGTGGCAGAACATACACTTGTTATATTGGGCTCTCTGTTGCAGAGATTATAGTGCATTTGCCCTAAGCAGATACATGTTTGTGTGTGTGTCATTGATTAGAAGACTAGGCTATGAATCAAACCTCATTTTAACATAAAAGCCTAATCAGAACGACCTTGGTGTTAGCATGTCCTGCTTAGAGAAAAAAAAAATACAAAAATTAACAAAAATGAAAAAGAACAATAGGATATATTATCTTTACTGCTATCTGTTGTTGAAATACTCACAGAACTACCTCTACTTCAATGTGTGTCAAATAGGACATTTTTGAGAGATCAAGAAAATAACAATATAGTAGAATTAGAAACATTATTCACATATGACTGAAAAATCAAATCTTTGATCGTTTCATAAAAACAGAAGAAATATGCATGTTCCTGAATAATGCTTACCTGACCCCATACAAGTTCTCCTAATCCAATAAATACACACCACATCCACTGGTCAAGCTGCAGGGGGGAACAACTAAATGGTTTTCCTCCAAACTGGACAATTACTATCTACAACAAAAAACAGAGATGAAGAGGGTAAATACTATGTGGAGGTAAAAATAAAAATCTTACAGTGATACTTTACCTGAGATTTACTTTCTCTTTCTACACATTACAGCTCTGCCTGATTGATTCCAACCTACTTTGCCCATGGAACAGTCAAACATGTTATTAAGCATATACTGTTTAGAAGATTGAATGTAAATATTACTGAAAGCCAGAATACAGTCTTACGTTCCAATTATGTCAGTTGATAGTAAGTGGTACTAAGACACGTTAAGCAAATAGGCAGGTCTACCAAAAGTACTTTTTGGGAGCCTAAAAGCCACAGAAGTTCAGTCACTGAAAATACAACAAGTGCTTAGGCACTGTGAATTAGAGGTCAAAATTGAGTATCAATTCATTTTATGTACAAAATAGCCATACTAGTTCATTCTGAGGCCCCATTAGCCTCCTGTCTTAACAGCAGTCCCATATAAATGCCCAGGAAGAAAACAAGCAAGACTTCCGAAAGATACTTTCCCAGCTTTTGAGCATCCTCACTCAGGTAAGGGATTTACTGAGCTTGACATAGTTTATTTTGGAATGTCCACTGCACACTTCTGTTATCTTTCCTATAATGAATAGCTTGGCAAAATTTAGTCCTGTTGGAGGATGGAAAAACATACAGGAGAAGCACTTACCTGTACCTTGAAGTAAGGATAACAGACATTGTTTTTAGCCTAGTTAGAGTGAGTTAGTTTTGCTAACTGCAAATAAAATTTTATTGTTATTTTTTACTAGTAGTGCTGCTGCAAAACCTGAAATCACAGGCCAGTGGTTTAAATACTTAAAGACTGCAGAATGAAGGTTAAAAATAATTAGCTGGTCTAGAACATGAAATGGCACTAATACATAAAATGGTTGTCTGCCTCTATGAGTAAACAAGCACAAGCTATGAGCATAGATTTTTTGTGAAGTACAAATGCAAGAAGGATGACAGAGGGTGGAAGGCTATGGGTAAGAAGTAGAAACATGATTTGAGATGGTAAAAAAAAAGAAAAAAAAAGGGAACCAAACAAAAACCTGTGAATATGATGTTAAGAATGATTAGAGGAAAGATACTGAACCAGACTGGGAGATTTACAGATGCTAGATGAGATAAATTTTAAGCCATCTTCCTCTATTGCATTTTTTTTTCTGTAAATAGAAAAGGGGTTGAAAAATGAAAGATAATGTTTGTTTGAGGAGAGGAGTATTAACTATCCTTTTACTTATCAAGCTGCTGAAACTCTTGCAGAAGCATTTTCTGATCCTTATTAAGCCCATAGTGTAATAAGGTTCTTCTTTTGCTTTTGCAATGTAACCACTTTGCTGATAGCTTTTACTTCTTGGGTGCTTGAGTCCCCAGTTGGGACTGGATGGTTAACTGGAGTTACTGGGCTCAAGAGATGAAATACTGAAGCCAGTTGGTCTGTACTTCATGGAAAGTGTAGTAAAGAGACAGTGATCTAAACAAGTTTTAGACATTAAATAAAAAATATGACAGTACTTGGTCACTTGGTCCTTGACACTTCCATAAACTTACACATCCATCTACGTATACCAAATTCCCATAGGTAATCACACTTCTTTGGAATAAAAGGCTTGGCTTACACAACCAGGTACTATGCCAAGTAGCCAAAACAGTAAATACCATTCTGAGATGCTTCAGCAAGCAACATTATGCAAAGTTGCACTTCTACAATATAATACAGTGTAAAAATTAATAGAATGACCTTTCCTTATCTCAAGAAAATTGGCTTAA